AGAAAGTATGGACATACTTCTGTCACTAATAGGGAAGGCATGCTAATGCTAGCAGTGCTAAGAACCAAATACTCTTGGGCCACAATGGTACGAATGGAATGTGAAGGAAACACATATGCAGGACCGAATGCCCCCCACCACCCACTTTTAGAGACAGATGATCAGAGACTGCAGACATTCTACAGAAGATGTCAGAGACTGAAGACATGCTACAGGGGATGGTCAGAGACTGCAGACACGCTACAGTAGACAGTCAGAGACTGCAAACATATTACAGGAGACGGTGAGAGACTGCAGTCAAACTATGTTAGAAAGTCAGAGACAACAAACATGCTAGAGTAAATGATCAGAGATTGCAGACATACTATTAGGAGATGAACAGAGACTGCAGACATTCACACACATGAGAATGCTAGAGATCAGTGTTATTACAGTGCATTTTAAAACAGTGCTCCCACTATTGGCTTATGGGTTCAAGGGATGCACAATATGTACCAAAGGGTCACATGTGGCCCTCAAACTGCAGGTTGGGCACCTGCGTTATTTAAAAAATCTGCCCCTTTGATTGTGTGTAGACATTTAGCTAGTAAACTTAGAATTCAAGCTTTCCTTCAAGTGAAAACAAAAAGTTGACATTAATGCATTGGACACTGTAAGCAGGAAATAAACCACTGACCTACTCTAAATGCTAGAGGTTTTCCATTATTTAAGTGCTCCTGTTCTCGGTGATGAGTTAGTACCTTCTGCAGCAGCACTTGAGCAATTTGCCTTTTCCTCATATGTGTAGATTCTATGAGTGTTATCGCTTCTGCCAAGCAAGCACGATGCCCTTTCACCAAACCCTCATAAATACTATTTAGCAGTCTTTCTTCTTTTTTTGCCAGAGGCTCTGCTTCTTGCTGGGTCAGGGCTGAGATGCACAAGTTCCTTTTGTTACTGGGCCTGGAGGCCATATTTCTTGATGTAAAAGAGTCATTTCTGTGCTTGTATATGGATGTGTGTAGCAGCGCAGCATTTCTATAAAAAGTGCTAGAAAGTGTCCATGCTACATTTCGTAGCTGGCAAATAGGAACTGTTTGCATGTTTCCAACCAAGATTGTCACCACATCAGATCACGAAGAAAAAGAACAAAAAAAACACTCTATGGGTTTCTTGATAGCTAAATAGGACTACTGATGTCTTCTTCAACCTTCAATAGGCAAAATGTTGTAAATGGTTTTCTAAAAAAAAAAAAAGAAAATACAAATTACTTTTACAGTGAAAAGCAGCCAGATTTTTAATTATCTAAAGTACACACTGGCCTATATTTAATATGATAAGAGCAAATGTTCATTACATAAAGGCCAAAGGAAATAAAAATGATATACAGTCCTGCCTAGCAGGATGAAATGTGAATTCTGCAGTAGAGAACACATTATGTGATACAATATAGTATAATGTAGGTTCTGTGTCAATGGGCTTGTGATGATGACATCAGTTTGAGACGCTTTTGGGATCATTCAGAATTTATTATCGAGTGTATATGACCTGCAGTTGTCGTCCTTTTGGCCTGCATTTCACTTGGGGGTTTTGCATTCCCACACAATTCCCCTTTGAAGCAAAGTCATCACAGGCCCAGACTGCAGTGCATCAAGTACTAGAAATCCTATTCAAACTGATAGAAGAAACACTGCATTTTCTAGAATACAATTCTATCATTGTTGTGCCTGTCAGTGTAGGGTATTATGACAAAGACACTGAGAGCAGCCTCGCACAGTTTTCATAACTGTGACTTTATAATTTTTCATAATTTGGTGACTTTATAATCAAAAACAATAATAAATCTTTATAACGTGATAAATGTCAATTCAAATTCATAATTCCTCCTTCGCATACAAACTCTAAAAAGTGCTGGTGCTTAGTGGTCCTCCCAGTGTTACACACAAAGCCCCCCGGGCAGTGCACACTCACCGCATATGCATCGCTTTTTACACTTTACATGTGACCTGAAGTAGGTATTGGATCCGACAGTTTTCAATAGACATGTGCGATTCGTTTCGTTCCGAATCGAAATTCGGAGGAATTTTCGTAAATTCGGACATTCGGATGTATCCGAATTCCGAATTACAGACATAACGTTCGTGCGAACGCTACCGAATTTCGTCCGAATCCGAATTCCGAATCCGAATTGACTTTCACACCCAAATCCCGAAAAACGAAATAACACAAATCCGAATTTAAAACGAAACGAATTTTTTGGCAGTACACATGTCTAATTTTCAACGTCTCCTCCCAGTTGTTTAGCGAATGTTGTTTCCCATATAATAAAGAAATCAAGAGGAGCTTCTCATAGTGCAGTATAGCTCAAACGTTTATTAGAAACAAAGTAAAAACTCACGTGTGTATTAAAAACGGCCAGTGTTTCATGAGCTCCTGTGCTCACTTCCTCATTGACTGTGACGTCAGACAAGGCCCGACGGGGGGCTTTGTGTGTAACACTGGGAGGACCACTAAGCACCAGCACTTTTTAGAGTTTGGATTCGAAGGACGAATTATTAATTTGAATTGACATTGATCACGTTATAAAGATTTATTATTGTTTTTGATTATAAAGCCACCAAATATCCATTGTGATAATACATATCTGGATGGTTGTTTATCCAGTCTGGGGTCACATTGTTTACAACCATTATAGTTTGTTTGTGGCACATCGTGATTATTTTTCACTATTAAGATTATTGGGTACCTTACAGATTTGTTATTATTTAGGTACAATAGGGTATCTAGCGCCGCATAATCGTCATTTATATTCTTGGGACTTTGGGGTCTGTATTGTGGCAGCTTCATCACCCATATTAGCAGTTCATTATCTATAAGCGCAGATCATTAGATTCAACAACTCATTTGTGTTTATCTGTCAAATCTGCCTGGTACACATACTAAGGTGGTCATGCACCTATGGATAATTACAACCAATGCAATCCATTTCAGAGTTTGTTTAAATTACTGAATAATTTTAGGTTGCCCTGGAGGGTGATAACATGCGTGCATGAAAATCACTAAGCATGCGGATGGTTTCTAAACTTTCCCCTCTCTATGGAGGAAAGGGAATGATCTACTCACTGCAAGTGCAGTGCATTCATGTGGCAGCCACCATTAAGGCTCAGCGTGCTTCCTATGTACTGGCTTTTACTGAGGATATTGGAAGATTTTTGAATTTCCAGCACAGCCATTCTGATGACATAAGCCATGGGGGAAAGGGACACAGCTGCAGATGGCCCAAGGTCTCACAATCTGATACTTCAGAATGTCAATTTTGTCTCAGAATGTGTCAGTAGTCAGCGCATCTGCAATTACATCTAAACCTTTTAGATTGTAAGCCCTCAGGGGCAGGGCCCTCCTTACCATCCTGTCTTCAATTGTATTGTGATTGTAATGTCTTCCTTATATTGTAAAGCGCTGCGCAAACTTTTGGCGCAATATAAATCCTGTATAATAATAATAGTAATAATAATAATTATAATAATAATAATACACATCCCTGCTTGTGTGTAGTAGCGATGGTAGGATTTGGTGACAGGGTCACTTTAAAACTAATGATGGTAAGGGAGTTGTGAATGTCACAGTGGGTTTTTGGCCCCCGAGGCTTCCTGTTTTTGTGCCATTTTGCACCTAACTGACTCTACCCCCTAGTATGTAGTTTTTTATTGGCTAAAACAAAAAAACTCAAGCCTAAAAACTACTAAAGAAATACGTGCAAAAAAAAAAGTGCTCAAAATCGCCTGAAAATGCTTATGCTCAAGTGTGAATGGGGGATCCTTTTAAAGTGACACTAAACTTAGGAGTTAAATCTTAAAGGGTAAGTTCACTTTCTCAAGTTAATTTGGGAAAATGGAATTACCCCCTCAAATCTGGCCCCTTTTGCCTACTACTATCTGTGCCCTGGACTGCCGTGTAGTGCAGCCCTGTGCTATGGTTTTTGAATTATGCTCGCAAATAGCGAGCACTCTTTGGTCACTCTTTTGGTTAGCAAGAAGCACTTTTCATTGGTCAGCATGCTCAGAGGTGCTTCTCATTAGTCAGCACAGTCAGGCGCTGACCAATGAGTGCTCGTCATTTGCAAACAAAATTCAAAATCCATAGTGCAGGGCCGTGCTACACGGCAGTCCAGAGCACGGATAGTACACCTGAAGGGAAGGAGCATTCGCTGAAAGGTAATTATAGCAACGGGGGGGGGGGCAGATTTGAGGGGGTAATTCCATTTTCCCAAATTCACTTGGGAAAGTTAACTTGCCCTTTAGGCCTGGCACACACCTGGGCATTTTACAGCGCGTTCCTACGCTCTGTAAAACGCTCAACATGTGAAAACCAATGATTGCCTATGGGCATGGTTCCCACCTGGGCGTTTTTCAGCACTTAGGAACGCGCTGCAAAACGCCCTACGCCTAAAGAAGTACAGGAGCTTCTTTGGGGCGTATTTGACACACGTATCCATTGGGATACAGCCAGGTAGCCGTCGGAAACGCACGTTTGTCGCACGTTTTTTTACAGCGAATCGCAGTAAAAACGTGTGACAAACGCGCATATTCAATACGCCTAGGTGTGAACCCAGCCTTAAAAACTATTAACAAAAATGTTTCTATTTTGTGCATCCTCAAATCATCTCTGAATTTATGCTGACACTGTCCTTCCTTCTGGAGGGTGGCTACTTTTGTCCCCCAGGGTCCTTGTATGTGTTGGAAAGTAGCCACCGCTCCAAGCTCACTCCTGTGATGGACTACAATCTCATGTTTAGTTTACTAATTTGTATTGAGATAGTAGTCCATCACTGGAGTGAACTTGGAGTGGTGGCTACTTTACAACTCACACAGGGACCATGGGGAACAAACTGCTGATCACTCAGCTCACAACCTCTTCCTGCAGAGAGCGACTAAGTAATCACTTCCCGCAGGGATCTCCCCTCCCCCCTTCCGTTCCTCCAGCGCTTATTAAAGGGAAAGACAGGTAAGGGGAGAAGCACCCTGTCAATTAGGTAGCGGGGTGGACGCCAACAATATTGTCAGGATCTTTCCTGGCTGGCAGCGCAGCTCTGTCAGCATATAGTGAGCAGTAGCCCACTATTTGCTCAGTTTGGATCACATGACGACAGTACTAAATGAACTCATATGACCCAAAAGAAAACTAAAGTCAGAAATATGTGAGAGTTCCGTCTCGTTCTGTTTCATTCAATTACTTTACCATAACCTGTGTCTTTCTAGGTGACCTACACACCTTCTACTACTAGTCCACTATTACAAGTCTCTCCTTATATATGGCCGCTGCTTCTTACCTTTCCATTCTATTCCCTATTCTATTATACAGCAATGTAATAATACCTCCTCTCTGGATTTGATATCGATTCTTCCTTCTCTCGCTACAAGTCTTTCAGCTCTGTCTCTTGGAGCGCTACTTCCGGCTTCTGCATTCCAAGCCTCGCTTTCATTGTCGGCATTCTCAAGCCTCGTTTTCATTGTCTGCATTCCAAGCCTCGTTCTCGCCCTCTTTACCAAGCTGCAGGACTCGTGATGTTTCTTTTAGTCACATGACTGCAGCTTGCACAGTAAAACATTCCGTGAAAGTCGGAAAGGCTAGTTCTCGTGCAATATGAAAACTTTATTAAAAACGTACAGTTAGCACTCACATTGCTCATTGTTTTTAACCCTTTCTTCGTTGAGAACCTTTCAATGATAAGTTCTAATCAGACCCCCCAAAAATTGAGGTAAAAGTACAGAAAAATATAGTTAAGTGAAACAAACAAACAAAAAAATGCAAGCAGAGGGGCTCTTTATTGCAGAAGAGACATGCTATTTCTCTTCTGCAATAAAACATACACCCGCTTGTTTTCTTATGAATATACACTGAGCTGCACATGCACAGCCCAGTGTACATTCTTAGCAGGCCTTGGTGCCAGAATCAAAGAACAGGCACATGCACAGCTTAGTTTACATCCTTGGCACCCCTGCCAGCCAATCAAGACAGCCAAATACCTGGCACCTGGAAGAGGTTGGGGAGAACATGTCAGCACTGGTGAGAGAGCATCATTGGAGTGCAGGTGAGTATTTGGGGACTGTAGACTTTAGTTCTGCTTTAAATGCTTAAAAACATAGGAAAATTATTTAAAAAAATTAAAGTTTTAATCAAACATTTTAAAAAACTTTTTTTTAAAAGCTCCCTGGCCCCACATATATGCATATACGAACGCAAACGTGTGCGTCAGATGCACAGGTGTTCAAAAACGATGATTGTGCCACACATATTAGGTGTCGCCATGCTAGCTGGAGGAAGAGCAATATTTCTAGGGTCATCACTCACAGACGAGCTGAAGGTTTTTAAAACATTTCCTAGGGACAGTATTGGGTACTGTTGTTTTTTGCACTTTCACGGGCAAGCACACTTTTATAGCTTGATATATACAGTAAATACTGTATATAGTATATACAGTATATGGCATGCATTTACTTGAGGCAACCTTATCTTTAATATGCTACCAAACATCTGGTATTATATTACAAAATTATATAGAGTAGCATCTAGATAAGGTTGGAAAAAGACATAGGCCCATCCAGTCAGACATTTGTATGCAGATGTGTCCGTTTGTGTGTCAGTATTTTTTTTTGTATACATATCCAACATATTTAGATGTTTTTCAATTTGTTAATACACCCAGCTGATACCATGACTTGGGGAAGGGAGTTCCACTTTTTTTGCTACCCTCCGCTATTTCAGATTAAACCTCCTTTCCTCCAAACTTAAATTGTGGCCACATGTCCTTAGTAGGGACCGAAGATTAAATAAATTGTTATCCTCTTTATAGTCACCATTAATTAATTTCTAGATAGTAATCATGTCTCCTCTTAAGCGCTTCCTCTCTAAGGTAAATACATTTAATTTACTCAATTGTCCCTCATAGCCGAGATTCTCCAGCCCCACAATTACTTTTGTTGATGTTAAAATCTGTATTTAATTCCTTTAGTTACAAGAAAAAGAAGAAAACAGTAGGGAGGGAAGGGACCTATTTATATATTGCCTTAAGGTGCCCACACACCTTGCAATAATCGTACGTACGTTTTTTTAATTACCTTACAACGATCGCAAGACAGAAGTCTTGCGATGGTTGTAAGGTGTGTGCCCAGCATTTGACATGCTTATAAGCTATATGTAGTATTCCAGTCTCTGGCCAACCAGTAAAGGTCCCTTTCGTTGATGGCCTGAATGCTGGTGTCCTTTTGCAGGCCCTGCAGCATGTACAAGCCTATCCGTCACAAATTTCCATCAGCGTGGTCTTTGTGGTCACAGAGGGCAGTGTTGTTTATCTTTCAGCAACCAGGTACAAATCCTGGGGTTTGGAAGGGTTAATAGGTACCTGATCAGAAGCCCAATGTTAGTCTATGGAGAGACAGGTGTTCATTTACATTCGGTTATCCCAGGCTCCAGCCAGGTCCGGAAAAAGAAACAGAGTTCAGTTTTGTTGGACCTGATCGTGCCGGTTCGGAGGTAAACGGACCCAATCGATTCCCCACAGACCAAAATGGGTCTGTTAATTGAAAAAATGTTTGCGAGGAGGAAAAAAAGTGGACAGATAAGGATGTTCTGATCAGCAGGGGATCCGTACACATCCCAGTGTCACTTCTGTCCCCCAGGCATTCCAGCTGCAAAATAGCATGACTTGGTCACGGGTGGGGGTTTGGTGGTTCCAACGCTGTCACAGCACCACCAGCTCCAGTGGTGTGCCCTGTTCTGCATCCCTACTGGCAGTCAGCAAAGATACCTGGTGGACCATGAAGGAGATATAACGCACCTGCCCATGCATGCTGGATCATGTTTCTGTGGGCCCTGCTACTGACTCTATGGTCCAGCGACATGGAAAACATTAGCTTCTATGGTGGAGGACAGGGATGGCCTTCTGGGTGAAAAAATGGCAGCCGTACACCTGCTACTGTGGTACAGCACAAGCTGTAAATTCATGGAAGGGGCAGACTCCACCGACAGCAATGGTAGTAGTAATAAAGCCAGCAATTTTGCCAAGTTGGCACTGAGACTCTGGGGATGAGGGTTAGTGTGAGCTTTTTACATTCCAGCATCTGGGGAAGTGACACCTGCCTGGTCAAGAATACAGCTAGAGATGGCAGGACGGGATTTTGGAGACACTTGCCCCTACTTTGCATGTCCCCATGCTGACTCTCTCTCTCCCCTC